AGTTGCAACTCAAAATGTTGCAACTTAAGTTGCAACTAGTTAAAAATTTTAAAAATAATTATGGGAACCATCTTTAATTATAATAGAATATTATAAAATTACTTGTAAAGAAAAACTTTTATTATTATAATTTTTATAATTTTTAAGAAATTTTATGATTTTAATAATATAATTCAATTAGTATACAAACATAAATTTTTAAAAAATTATTATCATAAATTTTTTAAAACAATTTTAAAATTAAATTATTTTAAAATCCTTTTAAAAACTTAAAATTTTTGTTAATAAAATTGATAAAATATATATTAAACTATATTTTTTATATAGTAATATTATTACTAAAATTAATATTTAATATTTTATACCTTTTTTTTAATTTTGCAAACAAATTTGCCTGTTATACAGTATAAGAAATATAAGAAAATATATAATATATATATTTAAAGAAAGTGTATTTAAAAATATATAATAATAATTTTTATTTAAAATTATTAATGATTTCCTAACTAATGTTTTTGTATTTATAAAATTATAAAATTAGATAAATATATTTTATTATATAATAATTATATTTATTTAGTTAAATATTTTATAGATAAAATTTTCTTAATAAAATTCAATATAAATATAATAATATTTTAATATAAATTAATATAGGATTTTGAAAAAAAATTTAATATTAATTTAATATTATAGTATAAAAATGCTAAAAAATTATAATTTAATTAAAATTAATTTTATAATATAAGAATTTTGTATTGATTTTGTAATATCTTTTAATATTAAATCAATATAAGTAATAATTTAATATAGGATAAATATTTCTAATGTGAAAAAGGTTTAATAATAAATAAATTATATAATATTATCAGTTTTATTATTAATTATTATTTTTTTTTTAAGATATGATTAATTATTTAAAACTTAATTATTTATAAAATTAATTTTATTAATATTTAACTTAAATTTAAAATAAATTTAATTACAAAAAAATAAAAAAGATTTAATAAATTATAACTTAAATAATTATTAATTATTAATTTTTTAAGTGATAAAATTATTAATAATAAAATTATGATTATAAAACTTAATAATTATAATATATGTAAATATAGTAAAATGATTCAGATCATTTATAAATACAGATAGATATTCATTAGCTAAAAACAGATCCAAATAATTATTATATAGTGCTTAATAAAAAGAATGATAGAAATTATTTTTGATAATATGAGACCTTTGCAATAAAAAGAAGGAAAACAGCCAAAAAAATCAAAAGTGAGTTAATGTTAAATTTGAACATATTTCAGCATAAAATCATATTTGGCATATAAAAGTAAAATTAATTTTTCCCAGCAGTTTCCCCCCTTTCTATTGCAAAGGCCCCATATGTTTAAAATTTATTATTTATATTACTTTTTATTTATTTATAAATTAATACTAGCAGAAATTTTTTTAATATTTGATAAATATTTGATATATTTTTCTATAGCATCAATACTTGTTTAATTTAGTTTAAATTGTTCTTAATATATTGAAATAATATAGCAACATTAAGATTATCACATTCTATAAGATTTTATTAAAGAATATGTATTTTTTTAGCTACCAAATTTTTAATATTTACTTTACTTAATCTTTAATACGGTTTATAAATTTTTAATAGGATTTAAGTTTAGAATTTAACAAAAAACTTAATAGAAATTTATTGTAATTCAAGTGAAATTAGCATTTTTTTGAAGATAAAATCAAAATAAAAATAAAAAACAAATCTTTTTTTTGCTTTAATTATCTTTAAATAGATTTTAAATGTTTGATTAATTATTTTAAATCAAAAAAAATGAATATGTTGCAATCTAAAAATAAATACAATATTTCTACTGCTATTCTTTTCACTGGAAACTATATATTTGTAGAAGATTGAATAAATAATTTGCAGATATTATCCTGATTATTTGTGAATGATCTGCAAATTATATAATTAGCATGAAAATTGTAAATTATTTACATATTTATGAATAATCAAAAAAAATATCATAAACATTTTTTAACAATCCAAAAAATAATATTTTAATATTTAATATACATTTTATTTATATTCTTAATAGTTAACAAAATTCTAAAAACATTTAGAATGAATATTCTTAACAAATGACATTTTTTTTTAAAAACTAAGTCTATTAAACAATTTAGTATTTATACATATTTAATTAGCTATCAAAAAGTTTTCAGTATAATTGAACACTCTCTACTGAATATTAAAATTACTGATATAGATAAGTATATTTAGACTAACTTTAAAAAAATTGAAAATTATTTTGTTTTTATATTCATCTACTAAATAAAAGAGTTGTAATAGATATCTATTTTAGTAAATAATTACTTTATTTTTATATTACAAGAAATGTTATTCAAAGATTGAAAGTAGAAACTTTTTATTAAAATATGTTAATAGAAAAGTAGTAAGTATTTAATGAATATTCTCTAATGAAATATCATCTTTAAGCTTAATATATATGTTTTTTTTATTAATTGTTTTACTTCATTATAGATTCATCATTATCAATAAAATTAAAAGATTTAATCTTTAGAATTAAGTAATACTAAAATGAGAATTTCTGTTTTTTCACAATCCCAATATAATTTTATTATATTATACCAATTAAGCTTTACTTTTTTTTAATGTAAAATATATTTTTAGAAAAATTAAATATAGATATTAACAAATTGGATTAAGAATTTAAGTAAATAAATTAAATATAAAAAAAGTAAACAGCTTATTATAAACATTTTTTATACAATTTTTTTATAATAAAATTATTTAAATTTTTGTTAAAAAAAATAAAAAAAAATGTATAAAATCATTTATTTAATAAATAAATAGACATATATTCTTTAGTATTTTTTTAAAAATAATAAATGGTACTTATGATAATAATCATAACAAATAACAAAAAATTAATTAATTAAAAAAATCATATAACATAAATAAATTATATGATTTGAAATTAATATTTCTGATTTTAGAACAGTTTAAGCTAATTTGACTCAAAAATTAATTTTATTATTATTAGCTGCTATTTTTATTATTAACTAAAACTTATTATTTTTATTAATAATTTTTTTAAAAAATTTACAATCTTTATTATCAAATAATAAAGGCAAACTATTTAATTTTTTGCTTGACAAATCATTTAAATTTTTATAGTTTTTAAGTATTATTTTAACTGTAAACTATAATCAGTTTATAATTTTATAAATATCAGCTTATTTTATGATTACTTTTTTATTTTTATTATATAATAATAAATTTATTTATATTTGAAATAAAGCTTTGGTTAGTTTCAATATTATTTTATTATATATAATATTAAAATATAATATATACAGTAAAATTGATTACACAAACATATTTTCACCTATATATATAAATATTTGCTGAAAGTTTGCTAATATATTATAATTTAAAAGGCATTATAACAGATTTATAATTTATTAATTATAAAAGCAATCTTTAAAAATCTTTTAATCAAAATTTTTGATTTGCCAAAATTCTAAGAAATATTATCCCTTTTTAATAATACTTTTAAAGTCTATAAAATTAGTAAATATTCTCATTTTTCTATTTTTCTTATCATTTAATATAATTGGTGATGGTTGTAAAATTCATTTCATCAATTTTGCTACAATCTATTTTAATAATCTCATTTCTTTATTAGATAAACATATCTATTTGAATTAATTCAAATATAATTAAAATAAAGAGTCACACAGATGACGATTTTTTATTGGATATCAGAATCATCTACTGTATATTCTATAGTTCGATAATCGGTTCAAAAAAATTTTCTCATTCGAAATCATGATACCAACTCCAAAATTGGATCACATATCTTCTAAAGATTACGAAAACGTGTATGAGCCTGCCGGTAAGACCCCCTTTATAAAAAAATAATTAATGATATAAAACAAATGAAACGATAAACGATAATCAATCGAATCTAAAATTCATTTATCAGAGGATACATTTTTATTACTTGACGCACTTGAAAAAGATGCTGAATTTTTAAGAAATGAAATCGCACCTTGTATAAGTTTAGAAATTGGGTACGTTTTTAAATAGATTTTGTGTATCGATATAAGGTCAAATGTGTAAAAGATTTATTTCATTTAGATCAGGAACAGGATGCGTATCAACGTTCCTCGGGAAAATACTTGGTGACGGTAAAGCACGTGAGTTTTTTAGCATAACCTCTTTCATTTTTACTAAAGCGTATAAAACTTTTTGACCAAAATCATTAAATTACGCGTGAATTTTAAAGTGCTACTTTGTACAGATATAAATCCATATGCCAGTTACATCACTATTAAGACGGGATACAACAATTCGGTACTTTCACGTGACTTTAATGAAATGAATATTTCATTCAGTCCAATCTCTTTACTAAGATCAAAAGTAGATTCAATTAGAGTCGATTACCACCGACTTAGCAAATGGTCTTTTACCAAGGCTTTATCACACCGTTGATATATTATGTTGTAATCCACCGTATGTTGTTACAACTTCTGAAGAATTATATTCATCAAAAAGTGCTATCGAGAGAGCATGGGCTGGTGGACTTAATGGGAGAGAAGTGATTGATAAGATGTTACCATTAGTTGATGTTAAGTATAACTTTTCATTTTATTCATTCACTATTATAATTGATTAATTAAATTTGAATCATTTTTTTTATTACTGCAGGAATTATTATCAGATAAAGGTGTATTTTATCTCCTATTAATAAACGAAAATAAGCCAAATGAAATTCGTGAAACGATGAAAAATGATTATAATTTACAATCAAAGGTAAATTTATATCTAACCTTAGAATTCAATAATAATAATAAATAATAATAATAGTAATTTATTTCAAGGTTGTAATATCGCGTTTAGCAGGAAGAGAAAAACAATCGATCTTGAGATTCTGGAGAAATATCAGGCAATAGGTTCGAAAGAAAAAAAAAAAAATTTCAAATCTTTGACTCTCATTAAATAAATAAAAAAGGCTAAAAATAACATATTCTATATCATTAATATATAATCCTTCAACAAAAAAAATTATAAAAAAAATTTATATAATATTCTAAGAAGTTTCTTTAAAATAAAAATCTTGTTTAATTCTATCCATATATAATTCATTATGAAAACAATCTATGCAGCAGTTATATAAACGAATATAAATCCTTGAAATCATTATATTCTGTCCGAAAAATGTAATAAACTTTCTGCGTGATTTCAAATTTACAACAATACAGCAAGATAGAAAAAACAGAGATTATACACGTATAATTAATTAAACCTAATAGACTAGGAAGAAATGCCAAAAATGTCATTAAAAAATAATTTCATGCTATATAATTTGAGAGGATCACATAAAAATAGAGAGAGAGAAAGTAAAAGGTTAAACAAACTTTTTTGTATTCAAACCTTGCATAAAACCATTAGAGGTAATCCATAGAAATAACGCTTCAAACAAGATTCGCGTCTTTATAATAATAATCATCATAACCAAGCCTAAATCATTAAGTGAAAAAGAATAAAACTATGTGGTCTCATCCTTCATTTCTGACGTCGGCGGGAAATCAGGAGTTCTAGACCGAGATTTAGGATGACCATTAACTTGTTCTAACCTTCTATGACGTTCAGATGATGAACGAGAATACGACCTTGAACGAGAATATTTATTCGAACGCCTATTATCCTCCTCATCGTCATATCTTCTATAATCTACTCTGGATCTACTACGATTACGAATAGGGCTAGGGCTATGACTACGTCTAAAAAAAAAAGAAAATTTAGTTGTTTTTTTTTCAATATCATATCAAATTAACGCAATTGACAAACCTAGGCCTGTAAGAATTTTTCGGTACCCCATATCTTCCTCGTCTAATCGGAGAATATCTAAAAAAAAAAAAAAATAATGATGTTTTTAATACCCAAGAATTTGAATATCGGAGGACTCATTTATCAAAGCATACCTGTTATCTTTACCTCTCATTTCTCGAGGAGCTAGATATTGAATTAAAATAAAATAAGATATGATATAAGCAAACTCGGTAAATTATAACGATACGTTAAATTAAAAGAAAAAAGATTTCACTTTTTCTAGATCCACGCGCAAATTCCACAGTTAACTCTCTTCCATGCAATATAACAGTCCCGTGTCTATAAGCTTCGTCGCAATCACGTTCATCATAGTATCTTGAGAAGGGGAAAGAAAAAAACCGCGATTTCTTGTCAAGGACCGATGGAAAAGTTTTAAAAACATTCAAATCTTTTGGATCGAGTAAACTTGAATCTTTTAATCGACAGTAAGTAAACTTTGAATAATTAAGTCTTTAAGGATACTCTATGTACGCAAATCCTCTTGGTTCTCTGGTATAATAATCTCTTGGTATATAGACTAAATTAAAAGTTATATAAAAAGTTACAAGCTAATTGATATTAAAATTGACAGATAGTTTTAGAATACTTACCATCCTTAAGTCTTCCAAATTCTTTAAAAGCAGTTTCGAGATCTTCGATACTAATTGATTGAGCCGCCAGAAGTTATGGAAAATATATATTAGCAGAACTTAAAAATTAGGAAAACACACTTTAATAGAACTCACGTTGTTCGTCGTGATAATCCAGAAACGAACAACGAACGAGACATCCTGTCAGCATAAGAAGACGACATCTTTGATAGTTGTTTGTGTGCTTGTAAAATTAAAAATTGTATTGATAATTATTAAACTTTAAAAAAAATTATTTGTGATCTAATAATTATATCATCAATAACTGTTACACGACTATATATATACTTATTTTCATAGCTTTTTTTTCGACTTTTTATTTTCCTTGATGAAGACAAAAAGCAAAAGATCCGGCACTAACAACACTCATGTTTCATTCATGCCTTCTACCACGGCTAATAATACCACGCCTAAAAAAGAACCAGATATTATAGTATTTAATGATAGTTATCTTAAAAAGGCATCAAAAAGTGGTTCAAATATTATTGAATGGAAATCATTTATGGTTCATACCTTTATATTTCATTTTTATGTAAAAAAAAAATTTGATTGTAATAAAATTTCATTTAATTATAGTCTTAACTAAATGATTTATGAATTAGTCGGCTAAAGTTTCTAAAATGAATGAAAAATCCCAAATATCATCGGCAACTAAAATTATTAAAGAATTAGAAGAGGAGAGGTAAATTTGGTAAATTTGATTTCTTCGGTTTTTTTTCATTTATTTAACATTATTTTCAATTCAATTTGATTCAATTAAAATTTGTATTTATATATACATGTTTAATAAGGATAAATAAACAGAATGATAAAGAATTGGAGGAATTATTAAAAACCACTCAATTATTAGAGAAATATAGTAAGTAATGAATTATAAATATATATACTTGTAGAACTATTATTCAATAAGTTTGCATTTCGATGGATATAATTAGCCGCCGAATATTTAACAGGAAAAGATCGTAGGAAATATAACGAACGAAAAATGTTTGAATTAGGCGCCAAGGTAAGTTCGCAATAAAGATTATGTATAATAAATACCTTTAATGATAGAAACTTAACTTTAAAATTATGATCTGACAGGCCAAGAAAGGTCTGAAAATCCCAACACCAATTTCTTTAGGAATTCAATCAAAACGACAAGAGAGAGAAAAAAAAGAACTCGAAGAGGTTAGTTAGTAAAGCATTGCTTTGTGTAACTCTTCTCAAAAGGAACCATTCACCAAATGAGTTTTACTATATAATAAAGGCAAAGAATCTTGGACTTTACCATCAATCGATAAAACATAATTGGGTATCATCATCATCAAAGCCACAACAAGTGCGAGATAAAGGTATCGGGATGGGTATAGGTAAAGTTAAAAATGGAATGTTAATGCTAAGTTCCAAAGATATTAAACGTGTGCAAAATAGCGCAAGTGATCGTAAAAGTAGTAGGATGGATGGATTAAAGAAACGTGGTGGAGGTATTAAAAAGAAGAGGAACAAATCCAAAAAACGAAGTAAATGATATTAATTCAAAAAAAACAAAATTAATTAAATTTTTACAAAAAAAAAACAAATTTATAAAAATTCATGATTTAAATTAAAATAAAAATTATAACATTTAATAATCATTTCTTATAAATTCATGAAAATTTTTTCTGTTTTTTTTTGAAACCCAAAAAACAGTTTGGCCGCAGCCAAACGTTTTATTGTTACCCTATTGACACCATGCTTAGTAATAACTAATAAATTCTCTGGTTTCTGACCGACCGATTTTGACCGACCGGTTGACCAAACATTTTTTAATTAGTAATTCAAGAATTCTTTGCATTTAATTAAGTTATATAATTTTTTATAAATAAAAATTTTTAGTTTATTTTTTAAAAAGTTCGCGAAGATCATACTAATGCTATAATATCTGCCAAATCTGCTAATCCTAGTAGATGTACAAATCTGCACAATACGTTAAGTTAAATATACCATATATCAGATATACAAGAAATAGCAAAGATTATGTAAAGACCTAGAAGACACCAGAGCTTCTTTTTCATTAATAATTAATTCATATTAGTAATTAATTTTTATAGTTTAATATTTCTTTATTTTATTTATTTATATTATCAAATTTATTATAAATAGGGTAGTTGTAGAACTTCATTAACAATAAAATTTTACTTAGTTTTATTGATAACAAAATAATTACTAAACATACTTATATGTTAACAAATACAATTATAATAAATTATTTTATCTTTGAATTATATTTTGATTAAGTAAGCCTTTAGAGCTTTTCATAAAATTCATTTCATAAATTTCAAAGCTTTATTCTTTGTTAATCTTATTTTAATACAAATTTTTAGTCATTACATAAGCAGTATATAAAATCTAAGTTAAAATTTATGTACACAAATTGATAAATTATTACTAAAATAAGAAAATAATAATAATTTTTATGTAAAATTACCTTTTTTGTACATAATTTATTTATTTTTAGTAATAATTTGTGCATATTTTACATAATATGTATACACAAAAAATTAATGTATACATATGCATATTATGCACATAGATTTTATATACTGATTATAAGATAACAATTTAATGCAGATGAATGAATCATAAAACTAATCTGATAAAGTATATACTATATGCTGAAGGCGTGACCTATGTTACACTAATCAATTATGACCAATCATGTAATTTGAATTGGTTGCTGGTCTGACCAATATGACAAATTGGACAAATCTGACAAATATGACAAATTAGTCATATTTGACTGATCTACCAGATTTATCATATTCGTTATATGTGTTATATTTGTTAGTTTAGATAGATTAGTTATATTTACTAGGAAATGGGGACTGTTGCTAAGTCCGGAGCATGTGTAATGAAAGTAATCAATAATGTATCGACTTAATTTTTGAGCAGGTGGATATCAGGAATTTTTGTGTTATGCGTTCTAGACAATATAAGTCCTTCGTTACACTTTAGACTAATTATATTTATTATATTTATCATATTTTATTTACTATTATTTATTTTATATAAATACAATGAACTCTTGATAAAACGAATTCTAGGATCTGAATATCAACTTCATTATAAGTTTATAACAAATTTTTTAAAGAATTTAATTGGTTAGTTCACTAAGTAAAGGTAATTTTAATATATTTAATTTAAAAATTTGTTATATCAAGGGTTCGCTATATCAAGGTTTGACTGTACTCTGTATCTTTGACCTGCTAAATGGCAGAGTCACTACAATTCTCTAATAAATCAATAATATTTATCTCTAAAACTTATTTTTGCTCATTAAACAATTTATGCTTCTTTAAATCTATATTAATAAAGACAATCTGATTCTTCAATTTAATTATACGTGTTTATTTCTTCTATAGTTTAGACACACTTAAACTTTCTGCTAGTAAATAATCTTTGTTAACTTAACAATAAATAGTTTAAGCTTAATAAGTGGTGATTTCTGTCAGGATATTCTTTATTGATAATATACACAATAAACCGCTGACGAATTAACAAGGTGTATGAATTTTGAAGAAGTTAAACATAATACAACTGAGCTTATTATTAGACACTATTCTAATACTAGTTTAAATACTGATTATACTTGTTTTTGATATTACCCTCCACCCTCAAATAACAACTTCACAGATAGTTTTATATACTTTTGGATTTAATTTAACTTTGAACATCAAGCTGATACTTACTATGCAAGAACTACTGTTTCATTTAATTTATTTAAAAACCTATATCATACTCCTGAATCAGAATACCATGACGAACGATTAAAAAGTGTTATAGTATCAATACTTTCTAGTATTCGCTATCAGATCATACCATTCTCATTTGACGTCTTATATTTATATATTCAAGACGTAGCATTTAACACTAATTGCTTTGAATGATAAGTTACTCTATCTATTTCAAGAAGTGTTTAGATTGAAATCTTAGATCAAAATTTACTTTAAATACAATGAGATAGACAGTTATTATATCAAATATTTGCTTTACTAATTCCTTCTGCTAATAATTTATCTAATTCAACCACCTGAATCACCAAAAATTATAGTAACAGAAGATCAAATAAAATAAGCATTAGAAGGTATCTTTAGTATAGAAAGAGTTAATCTACGTGAAGAAGAACACACAATCAAAGTTGATTATTTTCATGAAACTGAGAATGAAGACCCTAATGAATAGCTTACTTCTTTTGAACATGTATTAACTACTAACTAATAAACTACCGAAGCTAGGAAAAAGGCTATTGCTGAAGGATATATAAAAAGAGCAGCTGCAAACTGGTTTGAAAGTATTTCAGCAACTAATGGAGATAATTAGGCTATAGGAATCAATACTAGAAACAATTTTGTAGACCTTTTTGAAGCATGTTTTATAAATAAAATCAAGAAAAATCAATAGTATTAAGAAATATCTGTGCTTTGACAATAAATTGATTTGTTGACTTGTATGCTAACAAATTCAAAAAATTAGTAAACAAAATCGAAATAACAGATAATATTTAAAAGAAAGAATGTTTCTTATGCCAAATTTGTTTTAATTGTGGAAAAATTAGGCATTTTAGTAGAGAATGTACTACATCTCAATAACTAAGAACAAACAATCATAATCCATAATTTGAAGAACCTAGAAATATTTATTTAGCTAATCAATACTATGATGAAGAATACGATTATAAAACTGAAAAAAAAGAGGAATATGAAGTTTTTTTGAATACTATACTAGATCCAGACTATATCCTAAAAATCCTATTTCAAAGAACAAAAAAGAAAGACGAAGTGAATCTCAAAGGGAAGAACTTTTAAGGCCTACTATACCTAACATTTTAGCCCTAATATGCTTGATGAAGAAATTGAATCAGAACAAATATCCACACTTGAACTAATAATTACAAAAAACAGAAAAGACACCTCGATGAAGACTGCTACCAGCATCTATTGAACAACTGACTGAATTCAATGTTTTTACATATCTACAAAATCTACCATGTAGACTTTCTTTAAGATAAGTAGCATATACAATCCCTAAATATCAATCAGAATTAACTCGAATTGTTAGGCGTTCAAGAGAAAAGGATGCTAAAGAAATAAATTTAGTAGAAAGTGATAGTAAACCAATAATTGCTGCTAAATATACCCTTTGAATTAGATAAAAAGCACAAACTGCAATTATTGATAATCAAGTTGCTACCAGTATTATTACTAAGTCATTATTAGACAAACTTGGACTTGTAATCAACCACTCTTCAAAAATGATTGTAGTGACTGCAAATGGAGTCAGAACTTGCTCCCTTGAAATTATTGATAATGTATCTGTCAACATTGAAAAAATCCAAGTATTAACATCCTTCCAAATTCTAGAATCAAAGGATGAGATCCTTATTCTTGGAAATGATTGGTTAAGAGAAACTAATGCTAATATGAATTGAAAATAATCCATTTTAACCATTAAATAAGGGAAATATATCATTCACATTCCTATAACTTTCATAAAAACTTCTAAAGTAATAACGTAAAAAGAAGAAGAAACTGATGAAGAGAACAATTATGAGGATAAGTTCTTAGAAGAATACCCTATCTACCTATCTGATGAATATTAATAATCAGAATTTAATAATACTAATGAATTGGAATTTAATTCCTAGAACAATTATTATTCTCTAATAAATTCAGATGAAGACACTGATAATGAAGAAATAGAAGATAATTCTAAAAAAATTAACTTAGCAATCTTTCTTGCTGAAGCAGAAAACTCATCGCTGAACAGGAAATCATTTTATTCGAACAAACAGGAAATGACCATCAACAACAATTATTCCAAGACCTTTTAGTTGAAGATACTGATATTTGTGCAAAAAGTTAAACAGAAATTAAACATCGTATTTACACTAAAAATGCAATGCCAATTGTCTAAAAACCTTATAGGACTAATCCAAAAAATGCCAAATTTTTAAAGAATTAAACGAATGGAAATAAGTAAAATAATCTGACCCTTTTACAGCTCATGAGCTTCACCAGTTGTAATAGTTAGAAAGAAAGAAGATGATAAAAACTTTGTGTGAACTATCGTAAACTAAATGCAATAACAAAAATCAATGCTTATTCTTTACCAAGAATCAATGACTTATTGGATTCCTTAGGTAGAGCTTATTGATTTACCACATTAGATCTAGCTAGTAGATATTAGCAAGTAGTTATGCATTCTAAAGATATAGAAAAAATTGTATTCATTATTACTTATGGATTATATGAATTTCTTGTCATGCCCTTTGGATTAAATAATACTTCAGACACCTTTTAACAACTAATGAATTGAGTTTTAAAAGATTTTATTGGAATATTTGTGACAGTCTACCTAGATAATGAAATCATTTACATCAAAGGATTTTTTGAACTATATAT